CGGTGAACCTTGTCTTTGGCCAAGTTACGTCCTCAGTCGACATCTTCTGCTCCATGGCCTCGAGCACTTCTGTCATATCTTTCCTCAAAGGAGTAAAGTTGTGATACCTCTGCCTCTCGAACACCATCGGCCTCCTCTGCCATTCATCTCTCTTCTCCCCTCTCGCGTCCCCACTCCCTCTTCGAGGAGACGCTCTCTTCCGCTTGCTCCTCTTAGGCGAGTTTCTCCTTGGTGATCTCCCCCTCGGGTGGTTCTGCTCCTTTTTTGGTTCTGGTTGGGACACCCCTTCGAGCTTTGCAACTCCATCTCCTCCAGATTAATGTATTTCCTGCATCGCTTTAGAACATCCTCATATGATCGAGCCGGGGTCTTTGCCAAAGAAGTTCGGCAGGGTCCTGCTCGAAGACTCCTAATTAATCCTCCCGCTTTCACCTCATCTGAAGCAGAGTGCACTTCCAGACATGTTTTATTGTATCGAGCAACATACTTCCTCAGCGACTCCTTCTCGCCCTGTTTCATCGCCATCAAGGTCAAATAAGTCTTCTCTTGCGCCACTGCGCTTGAATACTGATTAGTGAGCTTGCTGGCAAGATCCTCAAAATCCGCAATCGATCCCGAAGGTAACTGATGAAACCAGTCAAGCGCCCCTCCGCGTAAGGTCGACAAGAATGCCCTACAACAAACAGAATCAGAGTATCCATGTAACACAGCCATATTCTCAAAGGTCCTCACATGCCTCGATGGGTCAGATGACCCGTCATACACCAAGTTGGTTTCCTTGAAATTGTTTGGCAAAGGAGCGGCGAGAATCTCCCTTGAAAAGGGATGTCCTCGAGCTCTCCTCTCTGGCCTCCCCTCCACCTTATCTTGCAACTGACGCAACTGCTCCGCCATCCTCTCCATTGCCAGATCTCTTCCAGCTCCTCCTTCTCCATAACTAGACACATCCTAATCCTGGTTCCCCGTTGCCGGCGCAGTGGTGGCGTGCGATGTGTGACTTGCGACCTGCTGCACCGCCTGCGCCGCCGCGGCCGCTGCTATCCTCTGCATCTCCTCCCGGGTCATCGTAACCACTTGCTGGCCCAGGGTTTGTACGGCTACCTGCAGTGGCACTCCTCCTTGCGCCTGCACTCCTCCTTGCCGTTGTGTTGGATCTGGTGGTGGTGGTGGTGGCATCGCCGTTGCCGCTGCTAAACGAGCCTCCTGGGCCTGACTGGAGCTGGCGCCTCCGCCGGGAATCACCGTCGTCGCTCCTACACCTTGAAAATTAGGTGCGGGAGTGACCGGAGTCTGCGATGGGCCAGAAAAACCCGGAGGAGGGCCGTGCCCTAACGGCCTAGTCGTCGTCCAAGCTTCGTCGAACGTCGACTGTAAGTTTCTAGGGATTCCGTCCGCCATAGCTGAGCTTCAAACACAACTTTTTGAACAAAGAAGTCCCCACAAACGGCGCCAATAATGCAAGTGTAAGCGTCCGGGTTCGGTTTGGAGTAGATCGATTCTTGTCCTTGCCGGTAGAACGCCGAGAACTTGCAAATAACTATCACACCGGGGGTTGGATCCGGTAAAGAGCCTCCGATGCTTAAGTCAGTATGTGTATGAGTATACTGGAATTTAGAGAATGAATAGAATGTGTTAAGGAAGAAAGGCTCACCCCCCTTTATATAGGGGTGAGATACCTGCCCTAATAGCTGCCCGGATAAGGCTACGTGGGCTGCCCAAGCTGCCCGTCCGTACTCTGACACGCCGCGCACATGTCAGAGGTTTCGCGGGACGTTGGGCGCTATCAGAGGTGGTTATCGCTGTCACCCAATACATTGTCGACACGTGTCCACTCGGCACATGGGGTAAATATTCTCCTGAAGCTCAGTCGGAGATCCTCACGCGCGTCTGCTATGCACGCGTCTGGGCTTATGTCGGTGAACTTGCTCGATCACTCAGCTTGTTCGATCACTCATCTGATCGATTGATGGGTAGCTCGACCAGTCTGATCGAGCATCGGGCTACTCGATCGCCTGTGCAGTCAAGCCTTAGATTGTTCGATCGCTTGTGTGGTCGAGCCTTGGGCTGCTCGATCACGTGGATTCCCGCCTTTCGGCTTGGTTTGCTCCCGGTCCGCTCTTCTCAACCGGCTCACCAAATCGGTTCGTCTTTATACAGATAATATCCTATATCAGTAGTTAATCCACTATTATGGCCATCTTTTTATGTGCTTGTGCTTAATTGATGGT